ACCGTGAGAAGCCATGAATTGTTTAAAAGAATGAGAAAGATATTCACGGTCATTATCACTATGCAAAACTCTAATAGAAACACCGAACTGAGTTTGAATTTCATTAAAAAAAGTTTGAAAGATATGAAATAATTCAGAACGATTTTTCATCAAAAATAACCAAGTGCATATGGAATAATCATCAATGAAAGTAACAAAGTATTGAAAACCTAAAGTAGACTTAACGCGGCTAGGTCCCCAAATGTCAGAGTGAACCACGGCAAAAGGGGACGAAGCACCACGTGTGAAACTACGAGGAAAGGAAGTACGACTATGCTTGCCTAATTGACATGACTCACACGCCAAACCAGATAAGTTGGACAAGGCAGGGACAAGTTTACGTAACTTGGCAAGACTTGGATGACCTAACCGAGCATGAAGAAGAGAGGGAGACTCCATAACCGTACTAACATGTGTAGAGGGACGAGAGATAATAAAGACCATGAGACTCACATCCCGTGTCAATCACCTGTTTCGAACTCCGGTCCCGTAAACACACGTAATTGTTGGTAAAAGTAACAACACAATCAAGAGAACGAGTTAGACGACCGATGGACAACAGGTTAAAAGGAGACCCAGGGACATAAAGAACATTATCAATGGTTAAAGAAGGAAAACGTTTAACCGTTCCAACACCATGAGATGATACTCTAGAGCCATCGACCAAGTGTAACGTGAAGGTAAATGATTAGGAGAGGATAAAGAGGAGAACAAAGATTTGTTACCAGTAATATGATCGAGTGGCTCTGAATCAAAAACCCTAGGACCAGGAGAAAATGATTGGGTCGGACCAGCAAAATATGTATTTGTATGTGTGACAGATATAGTGGAACTAGAAGACTGTTGATCCTTATACCATTCGAGAAATTTGTTGAACATAGCAGACATGTCGGATGCAACAGAAGAAGGAAGATCCCCTGCAGATAAAGGTGAGGAAAGATTTGTCTGAACAACTACAGCAGACTGAGGAGGACGACCATGTAATGTATAACACTTGTTAATCTTGTGACCTAGCTTGCCACAATGTTCACACTTAGGACGCCCTTTTTCCTGTTTGCGAGAGCGATCCCGGTCATCACGATGGGATGTCAACACAAAAGAATCGTTAACAAAATTGGAAATAGTGGAAGAAGTCATGAAGAGCGGGAGAACAAACCCTAAAACAATCCAAAGTAATCCAATTAACCCACGAAGCACAAATCCAAAATGAGAATACTAAAAATAAGTTCACCAAGACTAAATGGTGCATGAGACAATGGGACGACCAACTCCGATAGTGGTGATCTCAATGGCACGGTGGTCACTGACCGAGACAAGCAAAATCATATGTCACCGGTAAAAAAAAATTGAAACTCCGGCGAATTCTCCGAAACCGGCGGACCCAGTGACTGCTCCAGCGGCAGTGGTGACAGTAACGTGAACTAGTACACCAGGTAAGTTCCCAGGAAAGAGAGGTGGGTCACTAATGGACACACTTAAATACCAAGTCTTTCCTTGCCAGAACTTTCCTAAACATGCACTTTCACACTACCAAATAAAATTCAATGACAAAGATAATTCTTTTATGATGTGGATGATCAGTTTACCAGCAGCGGTGGGGCGGCTCTAGCAGCGATGGGGCGGCTCCAACAGTGGACAAAAGGCGGAAAAAAAAATTCAAGATAACCTTAAGCTCTAGATACCATGTTGAATATAGAGAAAATAGGGTTTGAAATTAATTTCCCTTGTGTATAAATCACACATAGGGTGGTCTATTTTGTTAGGATCGAGCGCTTACCACTAGGCCAAAAGCTATAGCTATTAGTCAGAGCGCAACTCTTTTTACTTAAGAGTAATAGCCCAAGCGCCACGATTCGATTGTGACTCGGCCCACCCGGCCTCCGCCACAGGACAATTGATGCTACCTGCAACAATCTCCCCCTCAGCAATTATCCTACGAGGAATCCCACTTGGATTGTGACTTGGCCCATCTAGCCTACGCCACCGATTGTGACTTGGCCCACCTAGCCTGCGCCACGGGACAATTGTGCAACCCGCAACAATCTCCCCCTTAACAATTGCCCACCAGGAATCGAACTCGTGACCTTGGCTCTGATACCAATTGTTAGGATCGAGCGCTTACCACTAGGCCAAAAGCTATAGCTATTAGTCAGAGCGCAACTCTTTTTACTTAAGAGTAATAGCCCAAGCGCCACGATTCGATTGTGACTCGGCCCACCCGGCCTCCGCCACAGGACAATTGATGCTACCTGCAACATATTTATAGTAGAGAGATACAACTAAAAGAGTAACTGAAAGTAACAGAATAAACAGAAGATATTGTTTGATATTGTGGTTACCAATATCTAACAATATCTTAACAATATCAAATAATATCTAAACAATATCTAACAATAATAATATATGTTAGGAAAAAATTATTCTATTAATAATCATAATTAGATTAATTTATAATAATTTGTTAAATTAAATAATTTTAAAAATAAATATTTAATTATTTTTAATATTGAAAAAATTATTTTAATATAAGAATTTTAATTAAATAATAGAAGAAAAAAATATAAGAAGAATAAATTAAAATAAAATAAAAATAAATAAAGAAAAAAATTATTTAATATCATTATATAAATAAATTATGAAGATTATATTGTGTCATTAAATTATAAACTCATATAAAGAGACTTGCTCACAAATTTGACATGAAATTTTAAAAATCCACTCGACACACACTTTCACCCTCGAAGCGCACCCTCACATCCAACATACATACACACACATATATATATATATATAAATATATATTTGTATTTATATATTTTATATATATATATTTATATATTTACATGGATATATATTTTTATTTGTATATAAATATAATTTATTTATAAACTATTATAAAAAAATTCTAAGTAACTTAGTGGTTGGAGTATCAGTCTCTAACTCTAAGATATTGGGTTCAAATCCTGCCAAGTGACAATTCTTTCATTCTAATCATAATTTAAATTTCTAAAAAATATAATAAATAATAAAAATATATTATAAAAGGGAGGTTAGAGACTATTATAATTAGATAAAATAGAAATTATAAAAAAATATTTTTAATTTTTTAATGTTTTTGTTAGTGACCGAAAATTCGGTCACTATTTGTTGTTTTTGTTGTAGTGTATATATTATTTGTATGTTAATAAAAATGTATTTCAATTTATTTATAAAAAAATTTAAAATTATTTTAATTATTGAATTGATATTTCAAATTTATATTATAATATCTTGGATAATTTAATTGTTGGATAAATATTTTAAGTTTATATTAGTCATTTTTATATAAAAGTGTAAAGATTAAGTAAACTTATTTTAAAATTTAATTAAACATAATAATATAATATATTATTAACCATGTGAAGATTTAGTTAAAAATTAATTTTAAGTTTTATCGTATTTATTTGAAAAAAAGATGGTTAAAAAAATTTAGAATAATTAAAGTAAAGAAATTCAATTTAATAAATGTGTTGATATTATTAGTTATTGGATAATTAAATTTAGAATAATAATTATATAAAATTATATAATTAATAAAATTTAAATTATTAGTAAATTTTTTAATTAAACATAAATAATTTCAAATAAAAACATAAGATTTAATTATTAAGCTAAAATTCGATAATATTAATAAATTAAAAATAAAAAATAAATAAATGTATATATATCACTTAATTATTTTAATTAAAATTAATTTCATGAAAAATAAATATTTGAAAATATGAAAAAAATAAAAAAAAAGATTTAAAAGATAAAACAAAAATTTTCATTTTTTTATTAATATTTTGCTTTTTTTAAAAATGAAAATGAAAAAAATATAAAGATAGTCCCTTTTACTTTTCCAGAATAATAAATAATAAATAAAAAATAATATATAATTGAAAAAAAAAACTCAACCCATTACATTTTACTAATTTTTCTTAGTCACGACTCCCTCACCTCTCATCTCCTCCTCACCCCCACAGAGTTCTCTCGTTCACCATAACCCTTACTCACCCTGTTTCTCAATATTTTACTCTTAAAATTCATATATATATATATATATATATATATATATATGAAAAATATAATTTTTCTTGTTAACATTTTACACTTTTAAGAAAAAAGAGAAAAATAATAAAATTTTCTTTTATTAACTGTTTCTATTTCTCAAATAAAATAAAAATATATATAATAATAACTTTTATTAGTGTTTATCTTTTTAACATAAATAAATAAAGAAAAAAAGAAGAAGTAATTATTTTTTACAAGTTTTTTACAATATAAAAAGAAAAAGAATAGATTTTTGACCCAACCCAATATTAGAGGAGTTGCCCTAATTTTCATTACCTAATTCTCCCGGGCATAACACCAATAAAGGGTTACCTCTCACCGTTTTTCCTTCTTCCTCATTCCCAATATCTGTCGGCCTCCATTCTCTATTGTTCAGCCACCCTCACCAACCAACCATCCGATTAATGAAAAAATAACAAATAATAATGATTAAAATAATGAATGAATGAAAAGAAAAATAACAAATAATAATAATTAAAATAATTAAAATTTAGAATAATTTATTCTTTTAAAGTAAAATGAAAATAAAAGAATTTTGAAGGCCCAACATATGGGGTGGGTCACCTTTTTTTAACCTAAATCTTATCACTCCACTCCCATCGCCGGGCCACTCCCACCAGCTTTCCCATTTTCCCTTTCAACCTTATCGCGCCACCCGCACCTTGCCAATCACCCCCACCATCACCTCTCACTTCACTCCCACGGTCAGGCCACCACCTTCACCTCGCATCATCCAAATACCCTTTTCTCTCCTCCTTTGGCAAACCCCATTCACCCAACATCTCAAAGCTCCTCTCCACACCACCCTCGCCTCACTCACCATCTTCCCTGCAACCACCATTGCACGAGTTCCCATACAACACCTCGCCATGCCTCGAGCCATCATAGGTCGATCTTGCCACCTGTGCCTCCACCAATACCTCTCAATCGCCTCTGTGAGCTCCCCCTCCTCGCTTTTATTTTAACCTCCATTTTCACTCACTCTCCCCGTTCAAGCTTCGCGGTGAGCCTGGATTTCAGATTAGTTCATAGGGTCTAACGGGGTTCCTGTTGGTTTTATTGGCAGTAGGGTGTTGGTTTAGTTTTGGGTTCATTATGTTGATTTCATTTGTTTCGGCTTGAATTTGATGCTTTCATCTAGTTCTATTTTTTCTGGGTTTAAGGTTGATGCTATCCGAATGGGGTGTGTTTGATGTGGGTTAAATGCTATTGTTGAGCTGTTCGAGCTTGGTTCATAACATGTGGCTGTTTAATTTCTCTTTATTTTCCAATGTTCGGGTTTCCCTTGTTGAATGTGGAATTGACAGGAGCAGAAGGAGGGGTACTTATTTGGCTTATGTTGGTTTAGCATTTCTTCGATTATTTGTTTGATTTTTGGATTGGATTTATTATGGGTTTGGATGGCTGGTGGGGATGCTAGTTTGTTTTAATTTGTTATTCTCTGTTGGTAGAACTATTTCAGCATTATTTGATTTTTAATTGGTTGGTCATAAAAAAAAAGTATGCTTAATTTGGGAAAATTTACACTTGCAGTGAGAGTTGTTGAGAGAGATGATTACATTCATGGAGTCAAAGGAGAAACCAAAGGAGGTGGAGAGGTATTTGGATCCTCAGCTATGGCATGTGTGCAGATGGTATGGTGCAGATGCCAGTAGTGAACACCAGGGTCTATTACTTCCCTCAGGGCCATGCTGAACATGCATGTGGACCGGTTATCTTTAGGACCTGTCCTAAGGTTCCGTCTTTGATTCCTTTGAGGTCTATGCCAAGCTCAGGCTTGTTCCTTTGAGCCTCAATGATGTTGATTATAGTCGTGATGTTCTTGGACCTGAAACTCAGGACAAGCCTGCTTCATTTGCAAGAACCTTGACCCAATGGGTTTTCTGTTCCAAAGTACTATGCTGAGACAATTTTCCCTAGATTGGATTACTCAGTTGATCCTCCTGTTCAGAACATCCTTACAAGTACTTTTGTCTATTTGATGTTATTGCGGTAGGGTTACAATCTAAGAATTATTTTTTACTTAAGCTATTGAATTTTGGGCTTTAGTAATTTGGGATATGAGTGAAGTGGGTGTCTAATTCTTTTCTAATCAGTTGGTTCCTTTATGTAGTTGTTGTAACTTTAATGTGCTTTTTTTTCTCTTATGTATGAAAATATATACTATGTGTGATAAAATTGACCCATGATATTTACAATCCCACATTTTGATATTACCACCCCACTCCTTTTTAGTAATTTTATCTACGGAAATTAATTATTTATCTTAACGAGATTACTCCATGGAAAGTTTTTTTACTATCTTGTCAATACTTAATGGAAACTTTCCATTGTGTACCTTACCACTTTGTTTGGCATTATCGGGTCTTTAAATATAAGACAGATTAATTATCTCTTTGTCAATTTTACTTTTTCTTGTCAATGATTTGTTTAATTATTCTCGACATCAAACATTATTTAACCCTAATTTATGTCTTTGGATTGAGGTAGTTGGAATTGTTTTGACATATTTTGCCTTTTATTTTGCATGATAAAATGATCCATGTATTCAAGTCGGTCCTTGTGTTCAATATACTTTTGCATTGCATTGTATTTCAACTGTTGAAATAGTTTTTAGTCCCAAAGCCTAATTTTAATTAGATACTCCTCCCTTTTGTATTGTGTATTTAAAACGTTGTGTTGGCCATGATTGTAGATTGGAGTGCTTAAGGATACAAGAAATCGTACCCTGCATGGAATTTACGTGTGCAAAGTTGCTTCAGGGGTCACCGAGCTCGTTATTATGTGTGCAAATCCTACTGGAGGAAATTGTCATATGCCCTATGGAGGATTTTCACCTTTTCTGAAGGAGGATGACAACAAAATCCTTAGAAATGGTAATAGCAATGGGTTGAACCCAAGTGTGAGCATGATGGGCAGGGGCAAAGTGAGACCAGAATTTTGTGTGAAGGCCCCACAAGTTGAAGCAGCACTGCAGACTAGGTGGTCTTCTGGAATAAGGTTCAAGATGACCTAAATTTTGTACACAGGAATTAACTCCATGAATAGCCAATTTCAAAACTTGGCCCAATTAAAAAATTTGTATGTATAATAGACTTGGATCTGACTCAAACAAATCAATGGGTAGAAATCTTTTATTGTACTTACTTTTAAATTGAATTTTTAATATACAAGAAAGTATATATTGTTTTTGTTTTGTTAGTTTATGACATGTACATAATTATAACTCTTATTTTAGTTTATTCTATTTATTTTTAGATTGAATTTTTAATATGCAAGAAAGTATTTAATCTATATTAAATTTATTTGGATCAAAATTTGTGGTATTTATTTTGATGGTTATTACTACAATATATAATGTATTTTATATTCTTTAATCAGGTTTATCGTTATTTTAAAAATAATAGTAAAAAAAATAGAGATTGATATAGTGACTGATTCGATCATATCATAAAATTGGTCACTTACTAATTAGTCACCAAAGAAATAGTGATTGATTCCAGTTGGTCACTATTTCGATCACTATTTTAGTTAGTGATTGATTTTGGTCATTTAGTGATCGAATTTTTAGTTATTAAATGACCAAAATCAATCACTAACTAAAATAGTAACCGAAATAGTAACCAACTGGAATCCATCACTATTTCCTTCGGTCATTATTTAATGTTTTTTTGGTAGTGCTACTTCACTTCCCGACACGATATGGCATAAGTAATCTATCTTTGGTACTCCAAATGAATATTTGAAGAGTTTGACATATAACTTATGTTGTTGCAAGATTTTAAGAACCACCTCCAAGTTTGTACATGGGATGACCATGTGGAACTATAGATAAGTATATCATCAAAGAATACCAAGATAAACTTTCACAAATAACATTGAAAAATCTCATTCATTACGTACTAAAAAGTAGATGGGGCATTTGTGAGCTCAAATGACATGACAAACCATCTATAATGACCCTCTGATGTATCCGGTAATAGCTAGATCGTAAGTCCAACTTAGAGAAGTAGGTAGCTCTATGTAACTTATGAATTGGAGAGGAAAAATGACTCGTGCTAGGGGTAATGATTTCTTCCTTCAACATGCACTACTACAAAATATACTTTCTACGTCGTCATTTAACGTCGGTTATAGCTGAGACGACGTAGAACATATTTTTCCACGTCGGTTCCCAGATGAATCGACGTTGAAAGTTGAATATTAAACACATTCTACGTCGATTTTTAGTCAACCGACATAGAAAGTACTTTCTACGTCGGTTCCCATATGAACCGACGTTGAAAATCTTTTTTTTTTACTTATTGATACTTTCCACGTCGGTTCATAGACGTGGAAAGTCTTTTTTTTTTCACCCAAAAATTCACTTAAATTTGAAAATTATCACTGGCAGGATTCGAACTCAGGATTTTAGAATTGAAAACTAATACTCTAACCACTAAATTATTATAATTTTTTGATAATAACTTACAAATAAATTATATTTATATACAAATAAATATATATCCATGTAAATATATATTTATTTGTATATATTTTCTCGGAAAGTATTTTTTTCCAGACTAAAAATTCACTTAGGTTAATGAATTGTCACTGACAAAGATTTGAACCCAAGTATTTTAGAGTTGAAAGTTAATATCCCAACCACTAAACTATTATAATTTTTTGATAATAACTTACAAATAAATTATATTGGTATTTTTCGATCGAGGGTGAAAGTGGGATTGACTCTTGCTTGAGTGAAAATATGTTAAAGCTCACGGAAATTCACTCACTCAAGCCTCGCTTGAGCGAAAATTGGTATTTTTCGCTTGAGAGCGAATGACGCGTTTCCCAAATTTATTTTATATCATTATATAAATAAAATTATAAAGATTATATTCTGTCATTAAATTACAAACTCATATAAAAGATATCTACTCACAAATTTAGCATCAAATTTTGAAAACCCACTCGATACACACTTTCACTTTCGAGTGTGCCCTCACATCCAACATATAAATATATAACTATATAAATATATAAAAATATATAAATATATTTGTATTTATATATTTACACTGATATATATTTATTTGTATATAAATATAATTTATTTGTAAGTTATAATAAAAAAATTCTAGTAGTTTAGTGGTTGGAGTATTAACCTCCAACTCTAAGGTACTTGGGTTTGAATCCTGTCAATGACAATTCTCTTAAAAAATTAATAAACTTCTAAAAAATATAATATAGAGAGATGGGGGAGCTAATAAAAATATAATATAAAGAGAGGGGAGACTTATAGATAAATAAAAGGGGTAAAGAGGTTGTAAATAAATAAAAATTATTAATTTAAAAAATCATACTTTCAATGTTGGTTGTTGAACCGACGTTGAAAACTTTATTTGTAGTAGTGATGTCAGTTATCATCACTTTTATTTGATCCTTCCTACTATGAGGATATTTATAAGACCTCACATTCACTAATCCAACTCCTTCTACTAAGGGAATGGAGTGATTTTGAGATCTCACTACTACATAATATGCTTTCTACGTCATCATTTAACGTCGGTTAAAGTTGAATCGATGTAGAAAATACTTTTAACATCGGTTCCCAGATGAACCAACGTAGAAAATACTTCCAACGTCGGTCATGATTGTAATTGATGTAGAAAGTGTTTTTATTTTTTTTCAGCTGAAAATTCGCTGAAGTTAGAGAATTTTCACTAGCAAAATTCGAACATAGTACCTTAAAGTTGAAGGTTGATACTCCACCCACTAAGCTACTAAGATTTTCTCGATAAAAACTTACAAATAAATGTATATCCGTGTAAATATTTAAATATAAAATATATAAATACAAATATATTTATATATTTTGATATATTTATATATATTTATATGTTGGATATGAGGACGCACTCGAGGATGAAAGTGTGTGTGAATTTTTAAAATTTGATGTCAAATTTGTGAACATGTCTCTTTATATGAGTTTGTAATTTAATGAGAAAATATAATCTTTATAATTTATTTATATAATAATATAAAATAAATTTGAGAAATACGTCATTTGCTCAAACGACACATTCATTAGGGGAAGGGAGGGGACCACTCGTGGAACCGATGCTGAAAGCCTTATATAATGGTTCTATAAATATATAAAAACATAACAAGTTCTGGTTCAATGTTAGATGACAATTATAAAAAGTGATAATTTAAATCGTCAATATGAAAAAATTGAATCGTGAATAATTTCGTAATTGCATGAGTATGATGTATTCTCCTCATGTGATTAAATTGAGTCGGTTATGGTAAGGCAAACTTTTCCCACGTAAAGTAATAAATTGGTTTCTAAGTAAAATTTTAGTATCAGTGTACTGTGATCAGAGAGATGTGGTCCAATTGTTGCTAGCCACACACCTAGTACCAAATCAACACCAAAAACAAATAGCAAATACACTGGCAAGTTTAAAGTATTTCCTTGGATAATCACCCCAAATCTCGAATTAGTCCTTTTGCTACTAACGAGCTTCCATTTCCAACTAAAACTTGTAAATTGGGGGAGTTGGTTCCACTGGAAATTTCTTCAATTAGGTCATTCTCGGCTAAAGGAAATTATTTGAACTTTCACTATCTAATAATATTTAGGCTCTAACGTTATTAATTGACCCCTGAAATTTCATTGTCCCTAAGCTTGGAGAGCCTTTTAATGCATTATAGAACAAATGATGGTCTTGTGGACCTGTATCCAACACTGCTTCTATAGCATCAGGCGGCTGAGATTGCAATTTAGTTTCTTCATCTTCTTCCCATTGCAGAACAAAACGTTGTTTGTTAAGCCATCTATGGTTAAAAAAAAATTGTCATCAAAAGTGAAACAGAGGCCCTTCTCCCTTCTCCCTTCTCAATTGCAGTTTAGCAGATGTTATTTTTTTTACATTGTTTGACTTATAACTTGGGATGGTAATAGTGGGGCTAAGCATGTGGATTTTAGCGATTGGGGAGTGGCTTGATTTTTGGCTGAGAAGCTGGAGGAGAATGGTCTTCGTGTATTTATCTTCATTTAATTTGGTCAATGAGATGGTTCTGAGGAATGAAGTTTGAGCTTGGGCAATCATATCCCTTCGGATATCAGTTTCAAACCTCCCACAAAGTAATCCAATAGTGCGTCCTGAGTAACAACTCCCTACACCCGATTAGCTAGTGATGTAAATTGCACGTAATAAATGTGGACTGAGCTTATTTAAGTTAGTTTAAACAATTGTGATCTCAGATCCTCATATGGAGAAGGACTGAACTCCATTTCTAAAGCTCTTGTAAGAGCAGTCCATGACGAACCAATGTTTGATGCCATGGAACAATATCTTCGTTCAAATGAATAGAAGCAATAAGTAAATATTGACCATTCGGGGTTTGATAATAGTTGAAAAACTATTCAACCTTTCTTCATTGTAAAACGTCAGATCTATCAAATCGAAAAAAATCAAGTTTAACGCTTCTAACCTGGAATGGTTGATTATGCCCACTAGATGAACCAGAATCTGCACCAGGTTGTTGTTTGAGGATCATCTCAAATGTTGTCTATAGTGTTTCGAAACAAGTAGCATACCCCTTCTCACGTGATTCCATAATCTTTAGAATCCGCTTGACTTCTACTGTTAACTCTTTCGTGTAATAAGACAATTAATGGAGAAAAAAAGAAAAATAATAAAAAAAGAATAAAATAGTTCTGAATTTCATCCTCGTTACTTGATTTTCTCTTCAATAAGTAGGATAAGGAATAAGTGCAGAAAATAGGGATTACAGAGAGAAAAAAAAATCTCTTCAATAAGTAGGATAAGGAATAAGTGCAGAAAATAGGAATTACAGCAGAGAAAAAAAAAATCTAGAGAGAGAATGGATCATCATCAAAATTTAGTGTTAGTTATTTTAATGACTATTTTGGCCTTGTTAAATCCTTGGAAAAGGGTTTCGATCAATGTCTGGAGGTACTTTTTCTCTTCAAAGTAGGCAACACTTTCAACCAAATGACACTAT